CCCCGGGAAATACAGAAACTCTTGAAGAAAGTCTTGCATGAATACACAGTCGTGTTGAGTTTGCATAATCACGATATTGGAATGACAAATGTGGTAAAACATGATATTCTTACGGGGAATCACCCACCCATCAGTTGGTACTCCTCGGCGCAGCGATTAACATCATTCCAGAGAGTGAAGGAATTTTGGGTTAATGAATGGATCGAACCCGTGATCGGACCTTGTTTTTTTCCCGCGGTAATTGTACCAAAGAAGATAGGAGGAATTCAAATATGTATTGATTATAGAAAATTAAATGATATCACAATCAAAGATGTGTACCCCCTTTCCCGGATTGATAAGATGTTGGATGCGAATGGATATGCGTAATTTTTTTGCAAGTTTGATGTTCGGCATGGTTTTGAACTTTCCATCGTCTTCTGGTAAAAAAAGAGGATCATGCGAAGACGACATTTGTCCTTTTAAAAGGCGCATGACAACGGATAAGATGCCCAATAGGCATCTGCAATGCACCAGCTACGTTTTTACGCTCAATGAATATGGTTTTCCCGAACTTTGTGTGAAAAACGCAGCTGGCGTAAAACATTATTAACTAATGCATGATTGTATGTATAGGCAATATTATGGTATCCTCAAGTACCTATGAGGGTCACATCCAACACACCAGGTGGGCCCTACACGCGGTAAAGGACGCCGGGTTCAAAGTCGCTCCAGAGAAGTGTCAGTTTTTCTTGACGAAGATCTCCTTCCTGGGATGTATCGTCACCGACAAGAGGTTCCACCCGAAGCCTCAGAAGGTACACGCCATAAGAGCGGCGCCGGTTCCTACGCCGCTCACACGAGTTCGTGCTTTTCTGGAACTTGCCTCATACAACAAAAAAAATTCATAGAATTAAATTATCATTCTGTAGTAAAATTACATTCTAAATTTTAAATTTTCATGCCATCTTAAAAAATGTCATTCCAATTTTACAATTTTTCGTCTTACTTGAAAACTTTCCTTCCAAGAATGGGGTATCCCTTCTTATTTCAACTGCATGCTAGAGATGGAATGAAAGTCTGGATGAGTTCATGAAATATATTAATTGGACTGTCATTCTAAGTAAGGATTTTCAGTCATAAATAGGTTAATCCAAACTAAATTAGAAGATATTTGTTGTGGTAGAACTAAAGTTTAATTAAATATTTCATAAACTCGTCCAGACTTTCATTCCATCGTGAACAAATAGATATAGTTGGAAGGAAAAACTCATATTTAGACGGAAACTTATCAAATAAAACTTGAAATTTTAAAATTGGAGAAACATTGGAATGATAATTTATAAATATGAAGGATTTTTTTTTTATGGAATGTTTTTTCAACTTTCATTTCTCGTGGGAATTTTTATGTTGTACTACCGAAGATTTATCAAGGGATTCGAGGCAATTGTGAAACCACTTACGAACCTGCTAAAAAAGGTTCAGCCACTTATCTGGACTTTTCAGAGTGATAAGGAGTTTCGAGACCTCTAGGCGACTCTGATGGCGGATCTTGAAAAGTCTTTCATTTTCATCACCGATTGGCAGCCCGAAGCCATCTCGACGATTCTGGTCCCGGTGGGAGCAGACGACCCGAAACACGTGGTGGAATAGGCTTCCAAGACAGTGCCTCATTGCAAGAGGAATTACTCTACACCAATGGGGGACAACGTCCCTGCTTTATGGGGAATCAGTCACCTACAGGAAAAATGAACGACACGGCAACACTAACGAACTGACACAACTGCACCGGCCTGGCAGAGTCCCTGCAAGTGAGGAAGTAATTTTGTGGAACGATCCAGAAACGAAGGACAAACACAAGTACGGAGCGATGGAGACCCTCTAGAAGGTTTAAGCCCCTGCTCAGAAGTGATGGCTGCTCTTTCCTCTTCGCCTAATCTTCCTACTCCCTCTCTACTTCCTTACTCTTCCTTCTTTTCTCGTATCCTCTATAAATTCTATTATTTCTCTACGTACATTTCACGAGTCTACGGGGTAGATTTTTATCCTCACAAGTTCGGGTTTGTCGATTCGGTCGATTGTGCCATGTGTGTTAATCGCTTGCATGGTGCATGTGTTCGAACAATTAATAAATCATGGAAATGACCGTCGTATCGGACGAATAAGCTTCCTATGGAAGCTCGATTCGAGGCCTATATTTTACCCGTGGCCGCGGCTGCGAGGTTAAACTCGGCGGCTCGATTCCGACTGCGGTTCGGTGTGACCGCGACTTTCACGAATTGCTTTAGACTTCAGAACATTTTCAAAAACAAAAACAAAAGATATGGTGTTGTAGATCTTTTCGAGATCTAAATTGCGAAATATTTTATTTTATTTTTGACTTCGATTTGAATTTTAAAAATTCAAAAACTAATTTTCGTAAGGCAAAAACGGTTTTTTAATTTTTTGTTAAGAAAAACTATGAAACTTATGTGTTTTTTTTAATTTTAAATTCAGTAAAGTTTGTGGATATAACCACAAGGCAAACATTGTTCAATATATTTTTCTGCATAACATATTTTGTTTCCATAAGTTTTTTCTTTTTTTTTTCATGGTCGCGTATGGCCGCCTCCGGGGGGATTCATAATTCGAGGCAGCTAGGATAGATGGACCTGACTATGAAGAAAAGTTTTGAAGGGTAGAGGTCTGGATAGACAAAATTCTACAAGCAAAACTAGTTGGCAAGTCTCTAGACAACTATACAAAGTTGAACAAGCGTCGCACATCGAAAATATCTCTAGACAATCGATGGATCAATGATCATTTAGAGAAGCGTAAAACAGACGAATCAGGGTTATGGTTGACAGTTCCACACCCATTTCAACGGTATGATTGGACCCGGTCTGCTCACAAAGAACAGGCCGCTCATTTCATGATATGTGTCACTGAAGAAACCATCGATAAAAACTGATGGTTTTGGTCTGATATCCGCGAAAACGTTAGGCACGTGGTTGGAAACTGTCGGATCTGCGTTGCAAAACGGACGTCGATCCGAGGACCAAACAGTATAGTTCTGACGCAAGTGGAGCGCCCCTTTGAGCGTGTCAGTATGGGCACAACAGATATCGACGTGTCACTTGGCCCCAACCGATATGAGTATTCAATTTTATTGGTTTCAGTTTATTATTTTTCAAAATATATCGAAGTTTCGTCGTGCAAGACTTGAAAGGCCTCGAAAATAGCCACCTGCATCGACCGATTCCTCAGTACTCATCTAGATACAAAGGAGATCTTAATGGATAGTGGATCCGAATTTAAGGTTGAGGTAGTAGAACTGTTGACACGTAGAGGCGTCATACTCTGAAATAGTGCTCCGCATGTCTCTCAATCGAACGGACTCCAAGAAAATGTGAATCGCATGATTAACACCGCTCTGCGCCCAAATTTGCCAGCTAATGACATGCGTCCCTGACCTAAAATAGTGTATCAAATCGTGATAATTCAACGAGCCACCCGTCACGAATCGACCGGGTTTACCCCCTTCTAGCTACAAATCAACAATATTCCTTATATCATCAACCAAGATACCTCGGAAAATATCGAACCATGGGAAAAGGACACGCGCGCCTCCTTCAAGGCTTAGGCCAAAAGGTACACCGATTTAATGGAAAAGGAAGTCCCTAGCCCATAAGAGACAAAGGATAAAAGAATTGGCCCAGGGACGATATGTCCGCAAATATGAGGCTCAAAATGGGAATGTGGTCCCTCAATTATGATATAAATTGGGGGACCTGGTCCAACTACGGAGAAGTACACGCGACCAGAAACTCTCTCCCAAGTTCTTTGGGTGATTTCGCATAGTCGAGCCCGAGCCTAACGGAGTGGATACCATATGCATTGCTCCTGACACAGGCACTAGCTATAGCTCCCTTCCTTTCGTCCGCCATATCTCCTACCTTCGTTCCCTTCCCTCCCCTGACCCCTGGTTCATACTTCCTCGTCCCTCTTCTCTCCAAACGGGGATTTGGTTTTCCCTTTCTCCTCCTCATATGACACCTTCTGCTCACAACCATTTCCATAAGTTTTGCACTTGACCCTGCCATATCTGCCCAACTTTTTCAGCGTCGACCCACCCTGCGATTTCGCCAAGTGAATCATCCACGACTTAGTTCTGACCTGTTGTGATTTGCGCAGCCGTTCAACCACAATGCTTGCTGCACAGCCATGGAGGTAACGATCTCACAAATTGCGATTCGGCGGTGATCTTGGCGGAAGCGGCCCAGAAGTCTCGGCGTTACTTTGTTTTTCATGGCCAGGGCAAAGTGATGTGAGTGTGATTATTGTGTTTAGTGGTGATTTGTGCAGCATCGACTCCCAATGGCGTGGTGATGCGATCGCAAGTCTGTACGAGTGGGAGCGTGAACAAGTGGTGGATTGATGGCAACGGCTGGCTAGGTCAGACGACCAAGTGGTGGGCACGGAGTGTATTGACACCTTCTCCTTGCGGTCTGGTATCACAGACCCGCCCACCCTGCTGATTCCATCTCTTCGTTCTTATCAAACTTCTCGCCGATGAATCGTCTCTCGACCTTCTCTTTCCCCTCTAACCTTCCAACTATTTTCCC